ACGGCTTTGCTATCGTACCCCGGGGACGATGAAAGGCCCCAACGGATGCGGTAGGCGTGGCGGCGGCGAAGCCCCTCATAGGGAAGGACAAGAAGGCGCGTGCAATGGAAGCATCCAAACCCGTTCAAACAAGCGGGGGAAGTACGCGTTCACTCCGGAGATGCTGAAGAAACTGGGAGTCGATTCGACGCCCATGGCTCGGCGCCGTCGCAGCGAGGACCCGGTAGGTGAGGAGAAGGTCGACCTACACTCGATCCTACTTTTCTCTGTCCTTATTGGTCCGCAGTCGGACGACCTCGCTGCTTTGCGACCCAGCTTGGACCCAGCCTCGCCGAAGACGATCACGGTCCGAGTCCCTCCTTCGGCGCTACAGTTCAAGCCGAGCACAAAGCGCCGTCCGACCTGATGCCTTTCCAAGACGATTGGTGCCTAAACTAGCGCCGCGAGAGGAACATACAAAGATGGTCGATTTCGACGATTTAACGCGCATACATACGTACTTGTAGCATACGTACTTGTATGATTTTCGAGGACTTAATGCGCGTTGGAGGCTGGTGCCTAAACTAGCGCCGCGAGAGGAACATACAAAGATGGTCGATTTCGACGATTTAACGCGCATACATACGTACTTGTAGCATACGTACTTGTATGATTTTCGAGGACTTAATGCGCGTTGGAGGCCGGTGTATCAGTTCGGGCGCAGGAGGTAAGAGAACAGCTTCGAGCGTAGAGCACAATGGAACGAGTTCAGGTGTGCGTTGTGAAATAATATAAGCGGTTACGCTCTTGTGAAGTTCCTCTGTATGTATACCTCAATGGTTAAATCACACTTCTTTGGATCATTCTCTGCTTTCCGGAGAGGAGAGTGCGAAGGCCGACATGGAGCTATGATACACATCCCTCAACATGTCGAGAGACGGCCGATGCTCAGCCACACGGTAAGAGTCGCGTCGGGCGCGGTCCGTCGGCCGCGCCCGACGCGACTCGATCATCGGTCATCGAGGCAGATTTGGGAAATATTGTCAACTCGACTGCGAGATAGCCATAACGATTGATGAAGATGGCAAATGATCATCTAGGAAAGTCAATCCAGCCGACCATCCGCTCGTTGAGACAGCGAGATGCCACAGCATCGGATGGCTACCTCATAACTAGGCGGCACGGAGTACAAGACTAGATAGCCGTGCATTTGGCACGACAATGATTTTGCTCGAAGGCGCGCAGTAACGCAGGTCCGGCTGAAGCTCGGTAGATTAGGCAGTCACGACAAGAACGCCCTCTGCGACGCGCCACTCCGCGGTAGCGTTGTCTACGTCGAGAGGACGCTCACGCTTGAGCATCAGGGCAGCATGGCCTGGGCCTTGGCTTTCCGATGCGGAGAACTGCGTTTCCGGCGCCTGGTGCGACAGCACGACTATTTCCGCGTCGGAGACGCCGAAGTTCACGTCGAGCGACTGCTTGTTTGGGAGCGTGAGGATGAACCGTCGTTCCTCGAGTTCGAGCGTTGTTTGTGCGACAAGGGCGCGCGTCTGTCCAAATTCAGAGTAACATCAATGATTGGTGGCGGGGAACGAAGGCTCGGGCGCGCACAAGGAGAGGGACGGCGATAGTTATCTCTAAGGCGCCCTGTTCCGCCTTTGTCCAATTCCAAGTCGGCCGCGATGTGACACCCGGTGATGGCGGCACCGTGGGCCTAGTTACTGACGAAGCGGCGGTAGGCTTTAAGATTCCTTTTGCAGGGGCATCGGTTTTACCGCCACTGGTACTTATGACTCCTGCCGGGACAACTTCTTCAATTAGCGGTTTCTTCGGAGGTGCCGGGCCGGAGGACGAAAAAAACGACGCGGGTATGAGTACTGTGCGAGGGTGGAGTTTGCCCTTGGAAGCAATATTCGGAGATGATATTTGGCGCGAGAGAATTAAGGACGTCTGTGCCTCTATTCGCTGGAGAGCAAGCTCTGGCAGAAATGATCGGCTTGCGAACAGAGGTATGCGAATAGGTTAGCGCGCCTTGTATAAACGTCTTGAACACAGCGTCTCGGACCGAACGCGAGCGGATGGAGGAGTGGAATATGCAGTCGAATACGAGCGAAGGTTTTCCGGCTGGTAAGGAATATGTCAATAATAGCCAAGATGTGCGTGCTTGACAGGACAGCATTGCAGTACGGCGCTACACGCTCGACCTGATCGGAGGACAAGGAAAGGAGCCCGAATACGAAAACAGACCTTTATCCGTATCCTGTCTAGCGTCGGAGACCACGACGGGTACGAACCAAGCATCGGGATTGAAGTGATCTAAATCGTCTTCGGCGCACATCGCGCGTTGTATTGCCTGCTCGTTACCCTCGGGAGGAGGGGGCACCGATTTATCCCATGCGACATTGACGAAAATCTCCGCGACGCGTGAATAGTCTGCAATCTGGCGAACAGGCGAGAGCGCTACCTTGAGTCCTTTTGGGATTTGAATAGATGTCGCTTGCGGCTCGAGAGAATTTGGGCCAGGCCGGGCAGCGGGAGGGATCTTTAGCGTCGCTGGTTGAACCGTTGCCGACTTCAAGCAAAAGCCTGGGGATGGGTTGAGCTGGATGGGAACGTTGGTAGCCATTTGAGGCAAGACGCGGTGCACAGCCGCATTTTAGCCCTCCGAAGATTTCCCCTTGCGAATAGCTGACCTAACTTTGCTCTGACTCGATCCTTGCCCAGTCCTTGCCTGTCCATGGCTCACTCTATAAAAGACGCTACTCCCTTCAGATTCGGTAGTCTCTTTCCCCCGCCCCTCTCCTCGTCCCTCAACAACTCTAGCGGTGCCCCAGGACGACATGCACGACGTCAGCCCCTTCCCCGACTTCGAGGACACAGAAAAGGTCCAGCAGTACATCCAGGACCGCCGTGTCATCGGTGTAGGTGTCCCCGCTGTCGACAGCGCGCAGCCCTGTTCACATGAGTACAGTACGACCCACTCGTCCAGCCTGCGCTGCTCAGACACGAGATTGTCTCCACTGCCAACTCGCAGAAAACTATTGCGTCTGCGCGCTATAACGCAGCACGCATCGTTGCCGGCCTCGACGACCGCGTCCTCGTCATCATCGGCCCCTGCTCGATTCATTCACCTGAACAGGCCATCGAGTACGCGAACCTACTGAAGTCAAAGATGCCCACGTGGTCAAATCTGCTGATCATCATGCGGGCCTACTTGTGGGTTGTCTCGTTCAACAGAATTCCACCATCTTACTGGTTCGCAGCGAGGTGACCTTCGCCCAGTTACTTCAGCCTTGCGTGGACTAAATTTCCACAGAAACCCCGCACGACCGTCGGATGGAAGGGACTCATCAATGACCCCGATATCAATGGCTCTTTCAAAATTAACAAGGGCTTGCGCATCGCCCGGCAGTTACTTTGTGACATCACTGACTCGGGTGTTCCTGTGGGTTCTGAACTGCTCGACACAATCTCCCCCCAGTTCCTCGCCGACTGTATGCTATATCTCTGACATTTCTCCTGATGCCTCTGACTTTCCTGTCCAACTAGTGATATCGTGGGGCGCGATCGGTGCTCGCACAACCGAATCGCAGCTCCACCGCGAGCTCGCCTCCGGCGTTTCGTTTCCCATCGGCTTCAAGAATGGCACAGACGGCAGGTTAGTTGCGACCATACGCTCTTCGGCTGCTAAACTAACTTGTCCTAGCGTCTCGGTTGCGATCGACGCGATGTTCTCTGCTGGATCGCCTCATGCGTTCATGGGCGTTACCGAACAAGGTGGGACCGCCTCTACCCGCGTCCGCCATCGCCGCTAACTGCGCCTCCAGGTCTCGCTTCCATCGTCAAAACCCGGGGCAACCAAGACACGCATGTCATCCTCCGCGGCGGGACCAAGGGCCCCAACTATGCTAGCGAGCACGTGAAGGAGGCGGCCAAGTCAATTACCAAAAAGAAGGAATGGGCGAGCATAATGGTGGACTGCAGCCGTAAGTCCTGGCCCTTCGTGCGCCCGTAAAGCGCGCTCAACTACTTGCGGTAGACGGTAACTCCCAGAAAAACCACAATAACCAGCCGCGCGTGGTTGACTCGATCTGCGAGCAGCTTGCCATGGGCGAACGGAACATCACGGGTGTCATGATCGAGTCAAATATCAACGACGGGCGTCAGGACGTCCCGAGCGAGGGCGCCAAGAACCTTAAGTGGGGTGTCAGCATCACGGACGCGTGCGTCAACTGGGAGACGACGATAGATATGATGGACAAGCTTAATGCGGTATGCAAATCTCGTCACCGAAAATATATTTTCTGTGCTTATGGCCAATTTTAGGCTGTCGGGCAAAGACGACAGGCGCTGATCGATGCTGGGTTCAGCCGACCGCCTGGGTTTGTGCGGGCCAACGGAGCCGCTGCGTCCTAGGTCGATCGATCCTGCTGCACTCACATCGTATAGACTTTGCTACATGTTCTAGTATCAGCGCTTTCTGCACCGGAGGTCTCTGTAATCGTTTTGCCAACACTCGAGGACTGAGGTTTCGCCCGCCAGCTGAAAGCCAATTAGTCTGCTGGTCTGAGCGAGCGATGTGCGGACGAACGTTTCATTAACATTTCGTTCTTTCGGGGGCCGATCGTTGAACCATGATAATGATGTCTTCCGATTTTTGACCGGCTGGGCCGCTTCTTCAGCCTGATCGATATCTTCGTTCCCAGCAGGCGGTCACAGTTGATTTATTTGTACTGGTCGTTCGTTCTGCCGCTGCTGGCTGGATGCCACCTGACTGCTTGGCGCTTAGCGCTTAACCTTGACTAATTGTTTCCCCAGGCAGCAATATGTAGCCTCCGAGATCGGAGGTGTAGTCTGGACTGGGTAAGGCGGTCGCTTTATGCATTTCTTCTTTGTTCAACTTGCGTGACTTGACATCTCAAGAGGTAGTCATGAACATGGCCGAAAGGTAGACTCGAACACAGCCGGACACCAACACACCTTTGATGACAGTAGATCATAGGATGCTGTCGAAAACAAAATGACAAGAGTGGGACTCGAACCCACGCCACATTACGTGATGAGAAACCTGAACAGGCAAGCTGTTACACTTGAGTCACACGCCTTAACCGCTCGGCCATCTTGCCCATGAACTACATAGAAAAACTGGCACCAAAGATCTCTCGCAAGCAGACAAATCGTTCATCGATCTGAGTTTAATCTAGAGGACAATGAAAGGTATGAAGTTGGTGCCTTGTGTGAAATCTAAGCTGAGATCAGTACAAAACCCAAAATCAAGTCTTTGGTTGTCGGAAAAACCCCAAAACAGTTGGAACGGATTGAGCCGGTATCAAATCCACCTATATAGCCCACCAAACACCTCTAATTAGAGGGGGAGATGGCCTCTGTCTCCCCCTCTAATTAGAGGCGCTTCGAGTAGATTAACGAGCACGCGTTAAATACGCGCTAAATCACTATTTTACTGCTAGAAATAACGATTTAACGCTATATCTTTGCTCTTAGAGGCATCGGCGCTATCTCAGAGATAACGCGGCGATAAGCGCGATATCGCGATATCGCCGTGCAATCGCGATTAAGATTGCGCGGCCGGGATATGGCGAGATCGCCGCGATTAAGATAGCGGGCGACCGGGATCTGCGCCCGGGCCCCGTGCCCGGCAACTTGCGCGCGCCATCAACCCGCCGCCCGGCGTCGCCAACTGGCCGCGCCCCGCCCTAATACGCGTCCTTAAGTCCTGGGAAAAAAACCATGACATCCCTGGTATATTTCCTGCCCTAGGGGCCCACTACTAGTACAAAAGTAGACCACAGAGAATGTAAACTGATGATTATTACATCTCTGTGACTACCGGTCATCGTGCGCGATCTGCACGATGCTCACGAAGGTGTCGGCGAGCTCGTCGAGATCGGCGTCCTCACCGTCATCCTCGTCCTCCTCCCGTCCGGCCTCATTCCGGCGCGCCGGCGCCATGTGCACGTCAGTGCTTCGGGGCGCTGGCATCTCTGTGTCTCCAACCGCCCGCGCAACACCTTCGTGGCGCTCCTTCGAGACGCTCACGCCGCAGCTTATGCTCCCTGTGAACCCGTGCTCCGTACTCAGTTTCCCGAGGCGCTCAAGATGCATCGAATCAAAGCGCGCACGCTCCATCCGGTGCAGCCCAACCTGGTGCGCCAGCCCTGGATTTCCCCCGGTCCTCAGGCGAGCTTCGTGATGCGCGAGGAACGCGTCCTCGTCGTCGATGTAGGTCACGAAGCGGCGGATCTCGAGATTGAGCCGCTTGATTTCTTCATCTGCACGAAGCAGCATGAAGTGCTGGTCCATGGCCGCGCGCCCCGATGGCAGCGCCCACGGCTCCTCCCGGATGTCCTCGCGCCCCTCACGTAGGAGGTCAAAGTCGGAGAGGAACGCGAAGTCAACGACCTGCTCCCATGAGAGGGTTGGCTTCCTCGGCGTCATCCCATCAGCAGCTGCATTGTAGCGCTCGATGGCTGCCTTCACCGCCTTGGAGCGTGCTTGCAAGGCCTTGGCGATGTGTTTGCGCAACTTGTAGCCTGCATAACGCGATCAGTATTCAGAGTTTGCGGCAGTATCGTCTGTGAGACTTACCTGTTCCCGCAAGATTAACCTTGAACAGCTCAAACATACGGGCGATGATGAGCCCTTCCAGGGCATCAAGCGCGCGCTGGTACCGGCGGCGCCCCACCATTGTTGCTGCGCCCTCCCACTTCTCGCCCCCTGGCACCCAGCGCTCCGTACCAAGACGGGCCTCCAAGTCTTGCACGGTCGCAAGTGATTTGTCGCGACGCTCCAGCGCGTGTCGCCGCTGTGTCTCTATCGCGCGTGTTGCGGCTGCGGCTCGCTGATAGCCTGCAGCGTCTGCTGCTGGCGGTGCTTCAGGCGCAGGCAGGGACAACACCTCTGTAAGGCGCTCCCTAGAAGTAGCAGTTTCAGCACATCATACATGAACAGATTGCGCACATACTCGTGGTCCACTAGATTGACGAGCTTTTGATAGTACTCCATCTCTAGTGTTTCTTGTGGTGGCTCCTTCGATAGCGTTTGAAGGAACACCTTCTCCTTCTCCAGCCACGTTGCGAAGACGTCGCGCGATTCGAGGTTGAGGGCCGCCATGGTGTGCAGGAGTGCCGGCAGTGTCGCCTTCACCTTTAATGCGGCACGGTATTTGTTGCAAAGGAGCAAAGCTGTGGTGCAGATATGAGTAAGACGGCTCAGGTACGGGTGCAAGCCACCCACAGAGGCTCTGGTATGCGTCGAATGTATCTGCATGCTTGAAGTATTCCGTGATTGCCTGCTTCCGATGGAATGCGGTCGCATAACGAGTGGTCGAGGCGAGGGCATTTGACTTGGAAAAAAACGACTCGCAGCCTTCGAGGCCCTCGAGGCCGACACCTTCCACATAAGTTGTAAGGTTCTTCACCTGACAACAACGGCAGTGGCCGCAGCCATGGAATGCGCCGACGAGGCATTTGAATCCTGTTTCGGCTGCGAGAGCTGCGAGCCCGGGGTGGGACTTCACCATCTTGTCGAACTTGCATCCGATATCGTAACCGAGCCCGAGCTTCCCTAGGGTGCGCATGAGGTGGTTAGTGACCGCAAACCCGTATTTTGCCCTGCAGGAAGGCTTCGAGTCAGCGAGAAGATCAAGCTAGAGGAATAGACGGCTTACAGCTCGCCGCTCTTGACCATGTCGACAACGACAAGCATGAAGTTGTGGCGGCAGAGGGCCGGGAAGATACCCGTCTCGTCGTACATCCCGTACGCACGCGCCGTCACGTCCTCCTTCATGTTCTGCCAACGTTCTCCGCAACCGTCTTCATCCTCCAGCCAGTCGTCATCGGCGACAAACCCCTTCATCATCTCATCGAGTCCCTCCTTCGCCCACCGATCTACCTCCTCGCGCGGCAGATAATAGTCGCCCGCCGGCTCCCTATTGTCAACTCTCTCCTTCGATGCACCTGGGATTGCGGCCCCATCCTCGTCGAACTCTTCGCGCTCGCGTCTCCAGAACCTCTTCAATGAATTGTTGCCGTCAATCGTTGCGAGCATAGGGAAGAGCAGCTCTTCCTCGCCCTCGAGTTTGTACAGGCATGCGGGGCAGGAGTTTTTCAGCCGCCAATTCGGAGTGTTGCGAGCGAGCGCAACCTGCACACGCTTGTCGACCACAGCGCGGATCGCAAGGTACAAGTCAAACGCGACAGTGAATTGTTGCGCGAGGTAGGTCCGGGGCGGGACACCGTGCAAATCACAAAGCGCACGGACCCATGCTTGAACGCCAAGGCGTGGGCAACGCAGATGGGCGACGCGGAAGGTTTCGAGGGCGCGTATGGTGATGACAACCCCTGGGAAGTACGGAGAGACGGGCATAAGCCCTTGGCGCACATAGGCCGATGCTACAAGCAAGTCCCCTTGTATCATAGGGACATCCTCGTAGTATGTAGCTAAGTAAAGTGATGTCAGGAACAACCTACGCGCAGTGGAGGAAAACCTTACAGAAAACATCGACCACGAGCACATTCTGTGTGCGCTCGACGACAGAGTCCGGGGGCGGAACATATGTGCCGCCCAGCCCGCTCTCTGCAGTCGCAAGGCTCCATCCCACGTAGGCGTCGGCCATGCGCTCCATTTGCGCCGCGAACGCAGCGACCATGATCTGCGTGCGATCCCTGCGTGTTCGCCTGTCATGCCGCCGTGAAAAAAGACGACTTTGAACAGAGGGAAAGTCAGAAAAGAATTGATATCAAAGGAACGAACCTACTTGTGGTGCCTTCGCAATCCATCGAGCAGTGTTTCGTCCGAATTTCTCACATCCTCCTCGGAGGGCCCTTCACCACCATTGCTGATGTCCATGGCTGTTGTCCCACGCAAGATGTCGTCCTCGTAGCCACCATCGTTGGCATCCAAGCTGAAAGCATCTGGAATATCGCGGTGTCTGTCGCGCTCCCGCCGATCTGCCTCCGTCATTGCTACATTTTGTTAGAAGGCTGTAGGGAAGAAACACAGATAGACGCACCCGCTTCTCGCTCGCGCACGTTGCGCTCAGTCTCCACCTTGAGTAGCAGCATTTGTGCTGGAGTCAGTCTCCGTGTTTTCTTGACAATACGGCCGGAGCTATTCTTCGTTGAGGAGCTGATATTGACATAGTTTGAAACGGCGGATGCACTCCGGACGTTGGCTCGGCGCTGCTGCGAAAGCGATGGAGCCATTCTCCGTCACGTTTGAATGTTTTGTTTGGGCAGCCGCGACGGTCACGAGAAGTATCACGTGGTGTGACTTCTCGTGAAGTCCTGCCAAACAGATCGCGCCGCACTCGCTTCTCGCCACCTTCCACTTCCTGGTGAGTCTCCTTTCGCTCTCCTCTGTGTCGCTTTCTAGGCCCATCGCCACCCGTGAACTCATACCCGGGATCCTGGTGCTGATGGCCCAGAAAGTGGCACAATCCAGCTGTGCCACACTACACCACATACTGACGCATATTCGTTGCAGTGACACAACGTGAGTTTCCTCATTGTGCACCCCGGCGCTTCGATTCTTGCTCCATTGCCGCCCGCGAACTCAAACCCGGGATCCTCGCGGCGATGGAGTAGGGACGGACAGCCTTGCCACCACCTGCCTCGAGAGCTTTATTGACACGCTTTCTGTCTATAGGATCTCGATGCTCTGGATCCCGGAAGTACGAAAGGTGCGCAACTACCCCTTCCTCCATCACACCACCTCAACTGCACCTAGACGCGTCAGGGAACCACTTTTTCCCCCTACGCGTCAATCGCACCGCTTACGTCGCCCGACTTCGACTTTGCACCTCTCCTGGTGGCGTCCTCTGCACAAGAGCCCGCCGACGGCGACCTACCCGACCACGAGCACCACACCAACGAGCCAGATGAAGCAGACGACTTCATGAATGAAGTCGACGACACCTATCCGCCGCCTTCGCCTCCGGACCCATGGAACGAGGTCGACGACGTTCCCGAGCGCCCCACTCCACCGCCCCCAAAGCGCCGGCGTACCGCTGTCGATGACATGCTCGACTGCAAAAAGCCCCTCACGCATTCCCACCGAAACCGCAAATCCAAGCGCGCGAAGCTCTTTGCAGACAAGGGAAATGTAG